ATATTTTGGATATGTATGTCTTTACCTGGAAAGTATTCTATCTGTATAAAAACAATATTTTGGATCTGTATATGTCTTTACCTGGAAAGTATTCTATCTGTATAAACACAATATTTTGGATCTGTGTGTCTCTTTACCTGGAAAGTCTTTCATCTGTATAAACACAATATTTTGGATCTGTATGTCTCTTTACCTGGAAAGTTTTCTATCTGTATAAACACAATATTTTGGATCTGTATGTCTCTACCTGGAAAGTCTTCTATCTGTATAAACACAATATTTTGGATCTGTATGTCTTTACCTGGAAAGTCTTCTATCTGTATAAACACAATATTTTTGATCTGTATATATATCTTTACCTGGAAAGTCTTGTATCTGTATAAATACAATATTTTGGATCTGTAGATATCTTTACCTGGAAAGTATTCTATCTGTATAAACACAATATTTTGGATCTGTATGTCTTTACCTGGAAAGTCCTCTATCTGTATAAACACAATATTTTGGATCTGTGTGTTTCTTTACCTGGAAAGTCTTCTATTTGTATAAACTGACAATCTTTTGGATCTGTATCTTTCTGATTGAATGTGTTTCTGTGGAATTGTGTTGATTTTATACCTTAAGAAAGATTATGGATATAATTTACATTCTAAGAAAGAGTAGTCTGTTCAATTTTTTAAATAAAACTACAGTCCTGCATGTAATCGGTCTTCATGTTTTTAAATAGGACTACAATCCTGCATGTAATCTGTCTTCATGTTGGTAAATAGAATTACTGTCCAGCATGTAGTCTTTCCATGTTTTTAAGTAGGACTACAATCCTGCATGTAATCTGTCTTCATGTTTTTAAGTAGGACTACAGTCCTGCATGTAATATATCTTCATGTTTTTAATTAGGACTACTGTTTAGCATTTTTAATAGGGCTATAGCTCTATATGTAATCTATCTTTATGTTATGATATCTGTAAAGTTTTTAAATCTAACTACTTTTTCCATTTCATATTTCAATTAAGAAAGGTTTTTCACCAGTAAAAGTATTCTTAAGTGTTACTGTACTTCCTGTTCCATAGTGTATAGGAAACATGCTTTCAGTTTAATGCTCATTGTCTTGTCTGTCAGTTCATGTTACAGTTTTTAAAGATGTTTAATCTTTGACCAGTTTAAAATCTTTTGTTCTGTAGTGTAGTTTATTCTCCAAGAAGAAAGATCACTTGAATCTTATGTTTGTGTAATAATAGTTAGTATAACCTTTGTCCTCATTTGTTTAAAACCAACCTGAAGCTAGTTTAACTTATGTTAGAGTTATGACAGGCTGTCCACGGTATGTGACAGAGATTTGTATGATTCATGTAGCTTTAGTCCAGAGTGTGTTACTAGTTTAACTTATGTTAGAGTTATGACAGGCTGTCCACGGTATGTGACAGAGATTTGTATGATTCATGTAACTTTAGTCCAGAGTGTGTTACTAGTTTAACTTATGTTAGAGTTATGACAGGCTGTCCACGGTATGTGACAGAGATTTGTATGATTCATGTAACTTTAGTCCAGAGTATGTTATACCATATTATCTATTGGTAACACAGTCTTGTTACCAATACCAATGGTTACTATGTCATGATTCATGTAGCTTTAGTCCAGAGTGTAGTATACCATATTATCAATTGGTAACACTTGTTACCAATACCGTAGGTTACTATGTCATGATTCATGTAGCTTTAGTCCAGAGTGTGGTATACCATATTATCTATTGGTAACACTTGTTACCAATACCGTAGGTTACTATGTCATGATTCATGTAGCTTTAGTCCAGAGTGTGGTATACCATATTATCAATTGGTAACACAGTCTTGTTACCAATACCAATGGTTACTATGTCATGATTCATGTAGCTTTAGTCCAGAGTGTGGTATACCATATTATCTATTGGAAACACAGTCTTGTTACCAATACCGTAGGTTACTATGTCATGATTCATGTAGCTTTAGTCCAGAATGTGGTATACCATATTATCTATTGGTAACACAGTGTTGTTACCAATACCATAGGTTACTATGTCCAATTTTACTAAATCTATAAGGTCAATGTAATGGATCACAAAGTCCATTTTTACTAGCTCTACAAAGTGTATAGTACAGATTATAGAAGTCCATTTTTACTAAATCTATAAGGTCTATGTAATAAATCATAAAGTCCATCTTTACTAGCTCTACAGGATGTATGGTACAGATTATGGAAGTTCCATTTTTACTAAATCTAAAATGTCTATGTAATAGATCATAAAGTTCCCTTTTTACTAGATTTATAAGGTCTATGTAA